GCCCCAAGCGCACACGCAGGCGGGACACCTACCCACCCACCCACGGGCAGCAGCGCCTGTGTATCGGCGCGCAGTCCGCGTGGGGCCTCCCTGCTGCTGCAGCCCGGCCCGGCTCCAGACACCCTCCAACTCCTCTGGCCCCACAGGGCAAGGGGAGCTTGTAACACTGCTGGGTGGATGGTGTGAGGCTGCCGCAGCGTGTGGCCCCTGGTGCTGAACCTGCACACGCTGGGTCTTGGGCACCTGCTGCAGTTGTGCAGGACTGTGCCGTCCACAGCACCTGCTCCAGGAGCCACGCTGCGCGCGGTACCACCCCAGCCTGGTGGGCAGCTCCCGTCCCCGACCACGTGCAATGCAGTCCTGGACCACCTGGATCCAGTATGCAGAGGGGTCCCCAACTGGTCCCAGCCCGATGATGTGCCTCCGTGGGCTGGGCTGTATCTTTGACACCCCTACTCTAACAGCGTTCTTGCTGCTGATGTCATTTGGATAAGGGACGAAGACCGGGGCCTCGCTGAGCCAGGCACTGTGCAAACGGAGAGAGAGGCCTTAGCACGAAGAGCTCCCACTGGAAGGGAGCGCGCACACAGCAGAATCATTTATCCCGTGATTTGCATCATACTAAGGAACAGACTTTCCCAAGCGTCTCGCCCACAGTAGGCACTGTTATAGTTCCTGGCTACCAGGAGACAGTGTGAATCAATTTGCACTGATCAAAGATAGTCTGGGGTTAAAATGCCTAAGGAAGCAGACCCATGCCCAATACACCAGAATCACTTAACACTGACACACAGTTATTCCTCACTTTCTGAGGAGCTTTATCATGGATTGGCATGACTTGGACCACTTCAAGGCTGTGTGTTGTGTGTCCGCTTCACTTGGAAGTCCTGTAAGATGGGGAAACAGGATCTATTTGCTTCATGCTATTGGTACAGCAAGGTCAGTGAAAGCTGTGACTTTTCTTTCAGAACATTTTTATACCATCCAAACCCTTAGAGTAGATGTGATTACACTGGCAAAAAGTCCTTTTGCCAGGATAGCTTATCTGATTTCATTTGGGGAATCACTGTAAACTAGAACAAAAGACTGCTTCTGTCAATAAAAGTGATCTCTCTGCTAACATTTGCCAGTTGTAACTGGAGTGGTAACTAGAACTAAACCAGCAAATCCTTTCTCGATGTAGACTGAGCCGTAGTTCATAGTCCTGCTAGTACTGTAATGTGCTCTGGTTTCACTAAATTGATTTAAAAAGTGATCTGGTTTAATTGGTGCAAATTCCTTGCAGAGATGCCTGTAAATTGGCTTAACTCTTGCTTATTATGAAGGTGCAAGGCTCCATAGTTACAGTTTAGCTCCTCTGTAGCAGGGGGCAGGGCCCTCTTCCTTGGATCTCTCAAGTATATTTTAACAACCTTTGCAGGAACAAGGCAGTGGCATTGTCCCCCTGCTTTACCGATGGCAGGCTAGGGTGCTGTCTTGTGTTGTGTCACAGGATCGATTGTGGCATTTTAGTAATAGATTAGACGGGGATTTGTATGGGATGCTCTGGATAATATTGACCCTGTCTCAGGTTGGACTAGATGACTTCCAGAGGTCCCTTCCAGCCCCACTTCTCTATGAATCTATGAACTGAAAGCCAGGATACAACCTCTAGGTTACAAAAGGAAGATGTATGTGGATTTAGACTAAGGTGAGTTCTGCGTTACAGACTTCTGTCGACATGGCAATACGGGTCAGGAATATTGGGAGGCTTGATCAGAGCCCGACACAGCTGTGCTGGCAGAAGCCTCAAGTAGAGACGCAGTTATTCTTGTTAAACTGGGCTTTTACTTGGACAGCTGTAGCCACACTAGCAGGTTGCTGGCACAGTATGTCAGTGAAGCCCTCTCATACTAATTCAAGCTAAACTTGTTTAAGTGAGGGTTAAATCAGTATTGCCAAGTCTCATGATTTTTGGCACTTCTTAAAGTCTACGCTTCGGGAATGTGAAAAACTTAGCACCTGGCAACACTGTTAAATTCATGCAAGTACTTTTACATTCAAGACTTAACTGGTTTAACTAGATTGCTCATACCCATAACCGTCATTTTACTACTTGGTAAAAGGGTGTGGGGCTCCCCAGCCTTAGCTTCCCACTGAGGATGCTGTGTCCTTACATGCCACAGGCTCCCCAGTGAATAAAGATCTCTGCTTAAGGTTTCATCAGACAAAGGATCTCAGATTTAACTGAGGCCTAGGCCATTTAAGGATGTCTGGACAAGAACAAAAAGGTTTCAAAGGACCCAGCATTGGTTGGGATGCTGGACGCAGAGCAATGCTATGAATTCCTAGTCGTTTCCAGCTGGCAACAGGGTCAAACAAATGACTCTAGTGATCTCTGACCAGATTCCCAGATGACGCAGTCGTCCAAAGCTCTGTGGACGATATGCTGCGGAGGTACGTCCAAGCAGGTACTGTGCTTACAGATCTCTATCACGTCAGGAATACATTGCAGCATACAGTATACATTTGAATGAAAAAATGCTTTAAGTAGCCCATGACTCAATGTTTTAAAGGAAAGTTACACCCTAAATTACTTCCACTTAGGGGAGTTCAGTACGGATATTTCTGATTGAAAATACACCATTTCCAGTTTGGTACAAGATGTAGAATGTAAGAACTCAAACCACAGTAGTTACAAGCAGCAATACAATGCAAAAGCACTGGAAAAACAGCCTGACTGCTTCCTAATAGCAGGGCATCAGGACTTGTAGTAGAGATGACATATACCTTTTATTAGACCAACAAGATTTTTGCAAAAAAAAAATCTTTAATTGCAAGCTGTCAGGAACAAACACCCTTCATTGGGCCTTGGAGAAAAGATTGTAAAAGTTCTCCTGGGAGGAAATGATAGTTCATATTTCATAGGATTTCACAGAGGAGTCAAGAGATGGAAAACTCCTCTGGGCAGGCAGTTCATAGCTGGCATGGAGCCTCTCACCTCCCGTGAGGATCTGTGATGATGCAAATTACCTTGACACAAAGGCAGGAGCAGGATCTCAGGTTTCAGGTGATCACAGTTGCTTGGGAAAATATGAAGATTTCATTTTAAAAAATCAGCTAAAATTCAGTATCTGCCATGTGTCCGGTATCCAAGTTGGTCTAGAGGAAAAGGCAATCAGGACTTGTAGTAAAGATGATAACTTTTATTAGACCAACAAGATTTTTGCAAAAAAAATTGACTCTTTAAATGTAAGCTTTCGGGCACAAACACCCTTCATGAAGCATTGCAGAAAAGATTGTAAAAGTTCTCCTGGGTAGAAATGAAAGTTCATATTTCATAGGATTTCACAGAGGAGTCAATAGATGGCAAAATAGCAGAGGCACTCGATTTTGGCTAAGAAATACTTATTTACAGCCTCTTTCAACCAAAATCACTTTACAAGAGCAATGCAGTAGATAAGAAAATCGGTTTTTCATCAATGAAAAGCAGCCACCTCTGCGTAGGCCATATTAGCTGTTTAAACAGCTCACAGCAACATTGCAGCTCACAGCAACCTGTTGTTCTTCCCTTCTCGCTACACAGACCATCAGCTGATGCAAATTAGAAAACTTCTCTTGAAACCCACATTTTGTTGTCAGTGCTGAACTATATCAGCAGAGTATCTGGTCCCAGGATGTTAGACTGGAGTTGTCAGAAGCTCCTAGGCAGGCCAGATGTCACTTCCCAGACTTGAATACAAGATTTAATGCCACTGTACATGTTAAACGTGTCACAGCAGCCTCCATAAGCACAAATGGCCAGTCATTTGCATTCCTTGCTGGATTTCAGTAAGCAAATTCATAAGAAAAGAGTCACTTTGTAAACTGGGTGAGCTCCTGCCCCTGCTGAAGTCTGTGGCCAAGCTCCTCTGACTGTCAAGCAAGGGCCAGGGCTCCACTAGTCTTATTTAGGTGTTAAAGAGAGAAGTTAGCTCAGATAAGTAACCACCATCCTGGTGTCATCAGCTGGCAGAACTGTCATTAGCCACATCCCCAGGAAGCTCAAAGGCTGCCTTGATGATTAATTTTTGTTGCAAGGAAAATAAAAATCTATCCTCTGCCATGGAGTTGCTTCTGTGTGAACAAGGGACCTTTCCGTCCCCAGGGAGGGGGCTTCTGATGCTCTGCAGCTGGAAGTGAGATAACTGCTGAGCTAAAGAGAAGAACGGAGCTGATTTTCATTTCAGAGAGCCGTTGAGACATCCATTTGTTATTGGATCGCAGCTGTACCCAGGAGAGGAGCCAAGAGAAAAGCAGTTCTGCTGCTGTTCAAAGCAGGGATTTGCTCTGAATATTTGTAGATTCAGTACCAGGGGCATCTTGGGCTTCTATATGTGTATAGGCAGGGGGTCTCAGTAATGCCAGATCAGAGGAACTCATCTTACAAGGCTGTTTCTGCTCCTCCCCTTTAGCTGCCACCCTGCAGCCATTCTGGGCATCAGGGGATTGAGCTGGACTCACTTCTACTCATGTGCTGCCCTCTGTTATAAGGAGCTTGTAAGCTGGACAAGGCCAGTGACACCTGTAAAACTTCACGGATTTCAGTGGGTTTGCACAGGTGTAAAACCAAGTGGACCTGGGTCTGCAGCGCTGTGGATGGTGCCCATGCCAGAACAGAACTGAGCCCACTGTCTGCACCCTGTCAGTCCTGTAGGGCTTGCAGAAGCAGGTGAAACCGGTCTTAGTTGGGGAAGCTCTGACCCCACCTAGGCCCCAGGAGGGAGAAATGCGCTGAGCAAGAAACATCCGTTGTTACCTAATCCCTTTTTTGGTGCTGAATCATGCTTTTTTATGTCGGGGTGGAGCAGGCAGTTAGATTCCCAGTGAGGTCCAGTTCCACAGATCATGGGCATTCACTGGAGTGCAATATTGTATTCAGCCGCAGGCTTGAAGTGATGTGGATTAAAACCATTCTCTCTCCCCCGCAGCCGATCTCGCTTCTAAGGGGAGAAACTAATGTAGTTAGTTTGGGACAAACTTAATCAAACCAGGATGCCATGAGACAGGCCTTTGAACGCAGCTGTAGGACTGACCCTAAACACGTGGCCAGCTTCACCGAGGCCCTGAATCTCTTCATCTCCCATTAACTCCCCTGGGGAAGGGGTTCAGGGATTCTAGGGGCTCTTATCCCTAAATCAGGAATGTCTCCCACTCCCTACTCCAACCCATGAGGTAGCGTTGGCTGCTCTAGTGCAGGCTGGAGAGCCCCAACTGGATTTCATGAGGCTGGAGAATGGCATGGATGTAGGGAAGTGGTTTTCAACCTTTTTTTCATTTGCGGACCCATTTGGAAACTTTGAATGGAGGTGCAGACCCCTTTGAATTATAAGTGTGGGTATTCACATACTTTTGATTGATTGTAGTCATCTTTTGCGGACTCCTTTGACAGTCTGTGGACCCCCAGTTGAAAACCACTAATGTAGGGTTATTCACCGCCAAGTTCCTGTCTAGGAAGAGATGTATGGATCCCCTCTCCTCCCATGCATTCAGAGCAAGGATCGGGAGGAAAAGAACGTAATTACCCTTTCATCTTGAGGCTGTAAGGTTAACCGTTTCCTCAAGCAGGAAGAGCAGATATGTGATACTGAGTAACGCATTGCAGAGTTTTAGGTCAGATATGAAAGCTACATGGGGAACTCAACTTCAAATGCTGTGGTGGAGAAATACTGCCAGTGGGAAGTGCCACAGGACCATGCTTTTTGAGGCTTAACACAAGGAGCGGGGAAAACCTCGCTCTGCTCCTGGGCTTCCGGCATTCGCTTGATTATTGGCAGCAGGACCCAGGAGCTTTTCTAGTAGTAGCATCTCTAATGCAGCCTATTCTGCTTTATCTGCTGGGACTAAGCAGGGCATTTCATTTTCTTCAGTGCTCACAGAGAGCTCCAACTAGCATAGCTCAGACAGTACCCTGGAGTTACCCATTCTGGTACATCCATTAGCTTTCCTAGGGTTTTATCCTGCGGCCATCACCTTATCATCTGGGTCCCTAGTTAGCGGGTCTCTTATTATAAACTCAGTGTATCCTACACAGATTCCAATCTTGGGTCTCTCTGCAGCTCCATTCAGCCATGAAGCAGGTCTTCTGTAGAAAAAAGCTGTGTGCCTTTAAGTCGCATCCAGCCCAGGCCCCTGTGGGTGGAAGGGAGATACTGAGTTCCAGGCAGTAATTAAGCTGGCGGGGAACTGTGTGGGTAGTTCCTCATATATACATGCAAACTCTTCCCTTTGAATTGACTCGCTGCATAAACTTGGGACTAAAATGGAGCTTTAATTCAACGTGCTGACTGAATGAGGCAGAGCAGCTTTTGTCTCTGGCAGACTCAAGTTATTGCTCACTGAGGCTAAGTACAGGAAGTCGAAAAGCCTGAGGCTGAATCAATTCAATCTTGACAGGTTAGTCCAAGCTGCATAGATTGAACCTATAAGCAAGTGAACAGACATTCACTTTTGATTCTGGAAATGCAGTCCCATGCCTGCAGTGGCTTCGGTCAGAAGCTGGGGTGAGGGGTGCTTGAGCACGCCTCTCTGCTCAGCTGGAGCAGACAATTTGGGCCAAGGCTAGCCTGCCCACCCTGCGAGGAGGGGTGTGTGCAGGGGAGGTGCAAAGCATCCTGGGATGCTGAGGGACTGTGAGTTAACTTGAATCTGGCAGGAATCAGGGACAGAAGGCCAATACATTGATTTAACTTAAATCAGTTCAGTGTGATACTACATCCATCCAGGTTTATCTTCCACTGGTTTCAGCCATTTTGAAAACAGTTTATGTGCACTGAACTTCTGTTGTGTTACGGATTTGAACCAGTTTCCAGTCACTTCTACCAGTTTATGAGTATTTTGCATCCCTAGCCTAAAGGACTGAAATTGCACTGAGTTCCCACTGGCTTTTTGGAGCTCATTTTGTTTTCCTGTAAGAATGAATGAATGATTGAATATGCTCAGCAGAGGGGCAGAACCTAAGGCTGGGATTTTCAAACTTAAGGACTTAAAGGCATCTAAAACATGAACTGTTTTTCAAAAGCACTAAGCCCTCTGCAATTCCCAGGGAAGTCAAGTCCCAAGGAGTGCTATTTTAGGTCATTTTTGACCATTTCGAATCCTTCTGTGCCATTTCCATAACCCCTGGGTTTTTATTTACCTGTCAGGGGAAGAGGAAGAGAAGATGAAGACAACACTGCAATATCTCACCAAGACCTACATTGCTATCACAATCCAGACCTTGTTTAATCATATTAAACTTCCTGTTTTCCCTTGGGTTGGTTCCAACGCTAGCACTGTGTAACCACTGTCGCAATTGCTGCAAAATCATAGTCCACCTTGACCAGAGAGGAAAAAAACCCAGTAAGGGCTGTGTTTGCTGTTGAAATGATTCCTCTCCTCACCTCTTTCTTTTTGGGAGAATTCATGACCTGGGAACCTATCAACATAGGCATCTACACACCAAGCTACACCAGTGAAGTGTTGCAATGCCCCGTGTACAAAAACGCTCATGTCTGCATGTCTGTTTCTACACTGGATGGGAATAGACTGATCTTGTATAAGGGACTTTGATAGCAGGATTGCTGCATCCAGCCTCAGGAGCATGGGTTGTGTGGGTTCAACTATTTTGGTAGAAAAAGGTCTCTTAACTGGCAGGGATATACTGATACAAAATCTGGGTGAATTCCAGGCCTGGTGAGTATCTTCTCTCCTCAGCCTTCTCCTAGTGTTGCAGCATCTCAGAATTACCCCCATTTTACAGCAGACAAAGAGAGAATTGAGGGAATTGAGCCTGGCTGTCCTACTGTCCAGGCATCCTACCCCATGGGTCCACCATCTTCAAGTTCAATATATTCAGTGTGTGCATTAAACACTCAGTTCTCCATTCTCCTTTGCTATAGGCCATGGAGAAGATGTGGTTATAGACACTTGTGTGACAACCTGCTCTCATGGGGAACAGAGCATCCTGAATCCTTCAGATGACCTGGGAGGGCTGATTCAACCCTTTGAGTCTATGGAAATTATACAGACTGATCTACAGTCAATTATCCATCTCGTCTGGTGTCAGATATCAGTTTCCAAATCTATGAGCCACTGCCTGGTTTTCTCTCTCAATGTGCCGATTCCATCAACTCTGTCTGGGCATTTATAGAGATTTCAGCTTTCAGCTAGGTGCCATGCTATTTGCTGGACACCGCATTCACACGGGGGGCTGGCCAAGATGTTCCTCTTGTGAAGTGTTGTTTTGAAGTGTCTGTATCCAGATCTCCGTCTGTTCAGATTGGCCCATGCTTCTTTGTCAACATTATACTCAATGGGGGACTTATTTAGTGTTGGTATAAAATGCTGTAGGAATGACCTCTTCCAGTGACTGACCCAGTCTGTTGCTGCCCAGTCTCCTCCAGAAGCTTGTGGGCTTTGTGTACAAACAATTTATGACTTTTAAGCCTCTTAAGCCTCCATCTGTTCAGATGTCTTCAGTTTGCAGTTGGTGAAGCTTGCCTCTATTGCCAGTAATGATGTTAGAGTCTGGCTTCTTATACCGCTTGGTCTAAGGCCCGAGAGTACAGGGGGTACATCAGTGTGCATGTACATTTCTGTTAAATTAATTATCCTGATACACAGGCAGATTTAACCTCTAGGATTGAAACTTCACCCAGATACATAGGGCGCCTCACTGCCAGGTGTGCCAGATCAACACCAGCCCAGCCGCTCCAGGGAAAGGTCAGGCCCAGAAGCAGGAAGATGTGAAGGGACTCAGAGCCAGCTGTGTGGTTGGGCTACCTAGATTGAATGCCCCCTAAAGCAGCCCTCTAATGACCCTGGCCGTTGTACTTATTCTGGGACCACTGCTGTAACCTTATGGGTAACCCAGGCCACTTTGACCAGAGATCCCATCAGTATTTTTGGAAAGAAGTAGGGAGATATGAGGAAAAACCAAAGGTGCTGAAGGACAAGAGAATCAGGGAAACCTAAGTGCTTGCTACACAAGGGTGTACATCCTTTCTACATCCTTTCGTACAGGGTGAGTCACCTCTGGTCTTGCTGGAAGACTTTGGGGCTCACTGGGTGGGAGAGAAGGGAAGCAGGAGCACATCCCCAGGTCCTGCTCACATTCCCAGGTCCCTGGTGAAGTGAGGGACTCTGGCACAAGAATACCACTATCCCCTCCCCTCCTGCCTTTCCCCACAGTATCCAGTCTGGGCTTGCAAATGGAAAGTCTGATAAGCTTATTGCATTCAGAGCAAATCAAAGAAACCTTACCCACCACACTTGGTCCTCAGCCCGGGTTCTCTGCTCCTCAAAGCCTGCTGACCCTGCCTCTCTCCTGTTCTCATTTCTCCTCTCCCCCCACCTACATCTCCTATAGGTTTTCCACCACAAAGTGTCAGACTATGAATAGCTTTGGGTGGCTTCCTAATTCCAGAACCACTTACCCAATTCATTTCCGTTTTTGCAGGACAGTCCTTCCTTAGCCCTCCGCCGAACCTACCAGTCTGGGAAGGCAAGAAGATTTTCTCAGTGAACTACAGTCAGGTGGACAAGACCAAAAAATCAGACTCATAATTAAAATATAGTTGGACCTTCAAGCGTCAGGTTTACAGAGGCTTAATTGGAATATGCAGCAAGCGTGGGGAATAGCAGCTGTTGAATTAAACAGTTCAGGAATGATATCAGCACCTTTGACCTGATCTAAGAAACTTGGCAGAGATGGGTGCACTAGTAAGATGGTGTTCTCGTGACAAACTGACTAAATTGTTTAAGGGTTTTTATTTTTCTGCCCTTAAACATAAGAGGGCAGATTCTGCTCTCAGCTCCAGTGAAGTAAGCCGAGGTCGGCTCCATTGGAATGGGTGGAGCGCCTCTGGATTTAGCCCCAGTCTCTATGATGGGGGTAGCTGGTCCAATATGACATTTTCAGGAGGGCGGGGTGGCTTGATACTCCCTGACTAGATTCAAAGCAGTTTGAATCTAACCAGGTGAGGAAAGACTGACACCCCGTTGGGTCATCTTGGAGCGATTCTAGAAGATAAATTATTGCTGAATCTCCTCAAGCTCGGCAGGGAGGATTCACAGAGGCATCACTAGACAAGTTCAAACCAGCTCCTTCCTCCCCTATCCCATCATCACCCTGTGGCCAATACAGACAACGGGCACTTTTCCAAAATGCAGGCATTTCCTGGAATGGAAACTCATTATTAACTCAACCACCACCCAGGCTGGGAAACAAGCTTGGGTCAATCTCCCTTCTTTTTCCACTGTAAATGGCAATGGAGGCTGGAGATTATCCTATTGGGAGCCTAGCTTAGCCTGCAAAGAAACCTCTGGAAGCAACGTTTTATCCATAGGGGATGTCAGGCAATAGAGGCAGCAGGGCCCTTTCCCCAAAGTCTCCCCATTCCTGGAATGCAATTTGCTGCTCAGTTTATCTCCGCATTTTCTAAGGACCTGCAGCTGACACCCTCATGCCAGTGAATATCTTACTCTGCAAAAAATCCCCAATGCTCTGCTGGGTAATTACTGAATGCCAGCAGAGGAGGGCAAGAGGCTGCAATCTCCAGTTCAAGCCAAGACATGACAGCCAGGCTATATGAGTTTCCCGTTCAATGGAGGCAGTGATGTCTGGTGGTTGGAACCAGAACCACCGCCTCTAGACGCCAGAATAAATAAAATCACAGAAAATGAGGGTTGGAAGGGGAGCTCACATCCAGTCCAACCCCCTGCTCAGAGCAGGACCAGCCCCAACTAGATCATCCCAGCCAAGGCTTTGTCTAGCCGGGTCTTAAAAACCTCCAGAATGGAGGCTCCGCAGTGTCTCTGGGCAGCCTGTTCCTGTGCTTTACTACCCTTCTAGGGAGAAAGCTTTTCCTCACATCTAACCTAAATTGCAACTTGAGACTATTGCTCCTTGTCCTGTTTTCTGCCACCCCTGAGAACAGTCCAGCTTCATCCTATGTGGAGCCCCCCTTCCGGTAGTTGAAGGCTGCTATTAAATCCCCCCTCAGACTTCTCTTCTCCAGACCAAATAATCCCAGTTCCCTCAGCCTCTCCTTAGAAGTCATGTCTCCCAGCCCTCTAAACATTTTCATTGCCCTCCACTGGACTCTCTCCAATTTCTCCATATCCTTTCTGCAGTGGGGGCCCCAAAACTGGACACAGGACTCCAGATGTGGCCTCACCAGCGCTGAAGAGAGGGAAATAATCACTTCCCTCAATCTGCTGGCAATGCTCCTACCAATGCAGCCCAGGATGCCATTAGTCTTCTAGGCAACAAGGCCGCGCTGCTGGTTCATATTCAGCTTATTGTCCACTGTCACCCCAGGTCCTTTTCTGCAGAGCTGCTGCTTACCCAGTTGGTCCTCAGCCTGCACCGGTGCATGGGGTTGTTCTGTCCTAAGTGCAGGACTTTGCACGTGTCCTTACTGAACCTCATGGGTGCATCCAGATGGGTGCAGACATGCGTTTCCCTGGGGATAGATAGCGGTGGCATGTAGTTGTCCCTGGTGGGGTTGAGGAGGCTGGAGCCAGCACCTGGGCTGGCACCAGCAGCCTTACCTGGGATCCTGGGGGTCTCCTGGGGCTCCAGTGCTGGTGATCCAGCAGCAGGGAGCCTGGCTGGCAGCCAGAGCATGGCTCTACCCATCCAGGCTGTGGTTTGTGGCGGTGCACACTGCTGCCACGTGTGCTGTTCTGTGTTTTTTCACACCAGGATCTTCCAGTGTCAAAAAACCCCAATGGAGATTACTGTCTCTGGCCACCCAGGTATGGTGCTGTGAGAGGCTCAGGCAGGAGTGACTCAGTGCTAGATATCATCAACTGTTGTTCTGGGGGTTTTTTCAGTGGTTTACATCCAATACAGTCAGGGCCGCTAAGTCGGTGAGAGGAAGAGTGAACATGTGCATGTCTGTGCAAATTAGTTATTCTGCATCTCTCATTTTATGGAATCAAACAATGCCACATTATGTACAGAAGCTTTTCAAACAATCAGTCAATCCCATTAACATATTCCGATTAAACAGAAGTGATTGTCCTACCTCGTATTTAGTTTAGACTGTGCCTGCTTCTTTCCCAGACCTAATTAAAAGAGCTAGTCTAAGATCTCTCCCAGCTATATAAGGTCCAATAAAAGAAACCATCATAAACATTTTGCTTTTTTGTATTTTTGCTAGACCATCACAGCCACAACACCGCTACACAACATTCACACAGTCTGCGGGAATCACTTCAGCCATTTTGATGCAGCACTGACTAATGGGACCAATAGGTTAGCAAACTTTCTGTAGAGGTCCTGTCCAAGCATTGATCCAGCTTAAGCTTGCACGATGCTCATAATTCATGGTCCCAGGGCTGTGTTCCTACTCTCGATTGGGTCATGGAAGTGCAGGCTGCAGCCAAGACTTTGCCTACTTGAGCTCTAAGCTTCCAATTAGTCACCACAGAGCTAAGGCATTGTAGGGACAGCCCAAAGCAAGCACAAGGGGATACTTCAGTAGGAGAGTCAGACAATACATGAACATACATGAACTTTGTAGACATCTCTGGCTACTCTATGCCAAGCTAGCAAGACCCTCTTCATTGCCCACCTGCTAGTAGTTATGTCCTGCTGGGGAGGTGGGAAAGCTCACTCTCTCCATTGAGGCCACTAACCTCTAAAGCCAACACACCTGCAAGATGAAAGCTTGCCCCAGCCCTCACTTCTCAGGGCAGTGATAAAGCCCCAGATAAAAAACAGTGGAGACAAAGCAAAGCTCTTGGTGCATCTGAAGGGGCGAGGACAAGCAGAAATGCATACTCTAGATCTCTTGGCTCAGATGATACCTATTGCAAAAAAAATATCTTTCTTTGCAAGCTGTTGGGTGAACGTGCCCTTCTTTAGGCTGAGGACAAATCCAAGATTTCAATTTAAACCGAAGTAAAGCCTTGTACACAAAGGTTGGGCCCAATCCTTACCTGCCTCTCTGGTGGCTGCAGGAGAGGGTGAGCTGCTAGTAGGTGGAGCAGTCCCTAAACTGGAGGCAGGGGGGTGGGCTAGTGCTTCCCTCCATGGTGGTGGCAGCACCTCCCAGGTGGCACCCACCCACAGGCACCTGGCCTGGGCGGTCCTGGGGGGCACTGCAGTTGCAGAGGGAAGCACCAGGCCCCCACGCAGCTCAGGCAGGCAGGCAGGCTCTGGGGAGAAAGAAAAAAAAAAGATCAGGCTTGCCACTTTTTTTTTTCTTCCGTGGAGCCTGCCTGCACAGGCTGCTGCTGGGCTGCCGCCAACAGCCCCTGGGCTACATGGGGCCCGGTGCTTCCCTCCGCAGCTACTAAAGTAGCAAACTTAAACACCTCGGACATGTTTTATTTTGCTACGCCCCAAAGTCATTTAACGCGCTATATGCCGCCGACACTGTAAACAGCAATGCCATTAAAGGGGTGCAAAAGGGCATTTAAGCGCTTTAAAGGCCAATTTCGTGGTGTGTACAAAGGCCCATACTCTCTCTCAGGGCTGAATCCAAAGCCCATTGCAATGGGACTCTTTCCACTGACTTCAGGGGCCTTGGATCAGGCTCTTAAAAGGGTCTTCCACGTGGTGGATAAGGATGAACCACAACACTGTGTAGTCAGGTCACATGAGCAGTCAGTGTCATGACTTTGGGACGTAGCGAAATAAAACATGTCCGAGGTGTCCAAGGCGTGTGGTTGACTTCAGCACAACAGCAACCCGAAAATGCCAGCTCTCACCCCCTAGCGAGCTGCACAGCACAGGGAGGATTTTGGTGCTGAGGGACTTAAGTGCTTGTTATCAAGATGAATTAAATAACTGCCATGACAAATCACTTCCCCACTCAACGGTTAACAACAGCTGCAGACTTCCTGGCGGAGTTACCAGAATGGAAGAGCAGAAGGTGATCAGATAAAGGAAGAAAAGCCTCTATTTAAAAAAAATCCCAGCAGTGCAAGGATTTGCTTACAGAGGTCATGCTGGGCCAGGGGATCCTGTTCAACAGTGAGTGAATGAAGAGGAAGTTACTACAGGTAGTGCTCATCCCCTCCATCTTCCTGTGACTGTGTGTCATTATTTACTTCAGATAAAGCTTAGCTCTTGATATTACCTGTACTACCCAGCAACAGTGCGTGGATGGAGAAGCTCCCCAGGGATTTCCTTCACCCTGGTTTCTCTGCATGGTGTCTGAGCAAATTGTTGCTTTTACAAGGTTGTGTCAGTCTCTGCCAAGGGACCACCCTGCTCTACCTTCTGACTAGTAAATGTTTCCTAATGTCTTCTCTAATATTTTCCCATCAAGCATACCACATTTTCTAGCAGTGTTGTAGTGAGGCTATGGCTATGACAGTACAGGGAAAATACAAGACAGAAGATCTGCTTGGAGGTAGCTTTAATCGGATCAACCATGTAGCTGGGAGAAATGGCAGACAAACTTTCAGATACAGAATACCCTTCCTCGGGTAGGAGAAAGAAGCAGACACAACCTAAGAGAGAACAAATGGCTTTTGTTTAATCCTGTTACATTAATGGCATTTAAAAAGGGAACTGGCCTGTGGATCAGAGAGAAGTGATCAGGAGTAATTATAGAGCAGGTAAAGAGCAGCTGGATAAATCTAATTATGTAAAAGAATACGGCTATTCCAAAGGCAAGAGGTCCTTGTAGGGCACACAGGGGTTAGCAGAAGGAGCAGGTCAATCAGTTATAGTAGGCAACCATCAGCCCTTCTGGATCATGGTGTATGCATGAGAGATCACCAGGACCTTCAACACATGCACCTAGGCAGGAGCACAGAGGAAGAGAGGCTGCCCAAACCCTCCTCCCCACTTTTAGACAGCATCCAAAGGCCAGACCAAGTCCAGGCATTTGGTGCCTCAATAGCTGTAGTTTTGTACAGTACCTGGAATTGAATCCAGGTCTTCCACATGGTGAATAAGGATGAACCACAACAGTGTGTAGTCAGGTCACAAGAGCAGTCAGTGTTGAATCCCTGGTTTGCATTGTCCAGTTCATCGATACCAGTTATTTTATGGCTGTACCAAGGGTCTAACCGAGATCATGAAGAACAGGCAGGAGGAAAAAGCAAAGCAATGGATGAGGCAGGGAAGGGATTGGACTGGCACTTGGAAAGGGAGAAGGGCTTCCTTTGTGGCACACCAGCTAAAAAGGTTGGCTGCACCGATTGAAGGAATACTTTTATTAAATGCGTCTGTATTATTTGATAACCAGGATTGCAAAACTTCTAAAGAAGTTGGTAAAACACCAGTGCAGCCACAGCAGCAGCCACTGTCAAGCAACAGAAGGGCTCAGCTGGACAAGCAGGTCACCTCAACACTACCAAACCCCAAAGCAGGGGACAGGAGCCCCAGCCCTGACAGCCAGGCTGTCACACCTAGAGGCAAAAGATCCCAGTCAAAAAAGTGTGTGCTTCAACCCTGATTCCTCAGAGGTCGGCACAACAAAACCCCTGAGAGCACTGAGGGTGAAAGCCCGGCCGTTCCCAATTCTGACACACAGGCTTCCGGAGGCCAGCATGACAGAGGGATGCCTGGAGACACGCATTCCCGTTTTGCAGAGTATCACAGGTGCCATGACTTATTTACTTCTATAAAAGACATAGGGTTGTGTTTTAACAAAGCACTGAGGGAATATGGAGAGTAGTACGTAAATGTGTGCAATACTTCTTCTGACCCAAACAGAGTCTTTTTCAAAAGTGTTGAAGAGTATTTCCACCGTGCTAAGGGAGTGCAACCAACACTGTAGCAAGAAAAGCCTCAACCAACAACTAGGGCTAGGTGCAGAAATCACACCGGTGCAGAGAAAACTTCTGAATTTAAACCAGGCTGTAGTGGGTAAGAAAGTGCAATGACGTGGTTGGATCAAGAACGTAATGGGTGTGCATGGGAAATGGCTGTGGGGGAAAAACCTGAGGCTCTGGCTAAGGCACAAAGTGAAGACAGCTGAAAAACTGAAAAGACAGCTGATTCACAAATCATGATGCCTAGAAGAGTTGGGTAACACAGAGTCGGGTCTGGAGGAGATGGACGCAGCGCTGATACTTGAGAAGAGTCTGGTAATACAGAGGCCGAGGCCGCAGCTGGGTGGAGTGAACCCAGGAGTGAGGTACAAGAGTGTGGTGATGTGGAGTCTGCCGTTGAGGACGGGGGGAGTGAACTAGGAGCAATGCACACGAAGAGTCTAATGAATCAGAGTCTGATGCTGAACCAGGGGGTGAAGCACAAGATGAGTGGTGATACAGAGCCTGAGGCAGGCTGGGGGGCAGTGAGCTAGTGGGTGATATGGAAGAAGCATCTGATGATTACCCTGCCCCAAATCCTTGCCAGAGACTTAAATTTATGCCCACGTCACAACCAAGAAACGAAACTTAAGCTTGATTTATGATTGGTCAGAGTAAAAGGGGATAGCCCTGCCATAAATCCCTGCAATTGGTCAAGAAACAAGTTCAGGCCCCTCTCACGTAACGGACAGGAAACCTGACCCACTACCTTGTAACCTGATAGCAACCTGAGAGCACAAAGAACTGCTGCTTGCCAGAAAATTAAAGATTCCACATAGCAGCCCATCATTGGACACCCGCGTCAGACACCTCTGTCTATAAATAGTTTAGCAACTTCCGCCCAAGGCGGAGACCTCTGGGGAAATCTCTGAGGAGAAACCTGAGCTCATCACCAGAGTGACTTGGCAGTCTGATCAGCTGTCAATTGCTCCCCGTCATCGTAAATCAAAGTCCTGCAGGCATGATAGCTCGCTCCGGCACCACGTTCGTCATTATTTGGCTGTAACCCGAACCTATACGCTTGACTGTAATCGATGCAACGGTAACGGAACAAAGGCTCAGCCTGCGTCGCACGTCACTATCTGGGCGACGTAAGTAAACAATCTCCTGCAACCAACACGTGTCTGTGCCTAGTTAATTTCACCCCATCCATTAATCACCCGCCTGTTGAGGCGAAAGGTTTACTGCTCCGGCTCCGGTGGGATTCAGAAAGCAGCTGCCGGCCGGCTGCTCTGATCCCGACACCCTGTGGAAAGAGAAGCGCAAGATTCTGGCAATGCAAAAAACCCCAACAACTCTGCAGAGGTTTATTTGGCGTTTGTAGATCAGTGGTTCTCAACTGGGGTGTCGCAAGGCCTTTTTAAGGGTGCCCCAGCACCAACACTACCATTGCCACCAGATAAAACTGCCCCGTGAGCCTTTGGCCATTTGTACACGCCACAAAATTGGCCTTTAAAGTGGCTTGATGCCCTTTTGCTCCATTTTAATGGTGCAGCTGTTTGCATGTGTTGGCAGCGTAATGACTTTTTAATGGCGGGCTGTTTGCATGGGTCGGTGGCATAATGCACATTAAATGACTTTGGGGCCAGCAAAGTAAAACATCTCCGAGGTGGTTTAGTTTGCCGTGGAGGGAAGCACCGGGCCCTGTGCATCTCAGGGGCTGTGAAGGCAGCCCATGCAGGCAGCCTGGCAGGGACTGCCAGCTCAGAGACCGCTTGACCCACCAGCAGCTTGCCCTCCCCTCTCCGCCACCGGAGAGGCAGGTAAGGGCCAGGCCCGACCCTTGTGTACACACCATGAGGGTTTACTTCTCCCTAACTTGAAGCAGTGTTTTTAAAGACCCACTGCTTCAATTTAGGGAGAATTAAACTGAAGTAAGCCCCGGTGGCATATACAAATGCTCTTTGTTTCCAGGAGCAGCATACAGGGCTGGATGGGGAAGCGGCTACAACAGGAGTGGGTGCTCTTGTTGGCATTAGGGGTACAGGTTGTAACTGTGTTGGTCTAAGGACATAAGCAGACAAGGTTTTTTGGGTAAATCCAATATCTTTTTTTTTTTAATTTTTTTAAAAATCTGCTGGCATTAGGTTTTACTCCCTTCCCTTACCTGCTCTGCTCCCAACTAGCTCTGAGAGACCTAGTGGCTAGTGACAGCCAGAAAAGGGGGGCGGGGTGTTTTCATTACAAACCTGTTGGAAAACGCTAAT